CTAATTCAGTATCACTGCAGGGCAAAGTATACACGTCAAAACAATAGGTATCATAACTATTATTCACAGAAAAATAATTTTGAATAAATACTTTTGGTTGTTGTCGATTAGTAAATGGAGCCTTAACAAATGAATTGAAAATTACTTTATCTTTCATGTCATTGTTAATAGTGAGTTTTAAATTCAGAGTAAAAGTTGCCAATAAATTGAGACGATCAATACATAATTGTTGAATAGTGTCACCGGATATGATCAGTGGATCAGACACTAACGAATCAGCTTTTAATATTAGTGATAGATGTGCGAGTTGACCAAATACGGATAACAAAAGTGCGCTAGTTTTATGAAAACTTATCGTATTGATACAGTTCAATTTAAGACGAGATAAATGACGTAGAAGACGAGCATCGACAGGAGCAGGTAATCTAAAAATTTTCATTTCATTAATATTTTTTTATAGATCATAGTATATTATTTACTTGTGAATATCAAAATTCTTCTCATCGTTTATTTCTTCATCTTGTATACCAAAAGAAAGATTTTTAATAAAAGGTATACATTCTAATAAATGTTGTAGAAAGTTTGATGTATTTATACCTAGCACCAATGAATGAAGATGATTTGGATTTGATGAATTTGGTAAAGTCATCAAAGGTGATACTGAAAATTTTGCTAATTGTTTACGGTGTCTAGGACGAAAATTAAATGGAAGTCGACAGTTTGTTAAACCGGGAAAACATGAACACACCTTTTATTAAGATAAAAAAGCAAATATTATTTTTAATATTATTCAAAGAATTTTATTATCTTAGCTAGATATGCTCCTTCTACTACTTGGTTGGTAAATGGATTAGATTCTGACACATTGATTAGTAAAGTATGTATTTGTTTTATTACACAATTATTCAATAATTTATCAAATTCATATGGTTGAATATCAATCAGATGAAGACGTCGAAGGGACATTGTTTTATAGTATTTTAAAGATGATGAAATAAGTGACCATCCACCAATAATATTAGTAAAAGTAATACTTAATGAAACAATTCGATTTCCTAATAGTTTTAATACATTTTGACATAAATCCTTGAACATTGATAACAACATTTTATTACCATCAATATGAATATGCCATAGATAGTCATACATAATTATTCTTGAAAAATAATCATTCAATGATAAAAATGATTGAAGAATTTCAACAGGAAACAAATAAGAAAATATTTCAAAAAGAACATTGACAGGTAATAGCTGAAGCGTATTCACCATCATTCTCTTCATGTTTTCTTCAATATTCATATTGAGTTGTATCTATATATATATATATATTCTCGTGTACACAATAGTATATTTTCGTCTGTTT